TGTCCATACACTGTGTGTGTGTCCATACACTGTGTGACTCTCTCTGCTCATCTGTCCTCTGCTGCAGTTGCTTGGTGACGTGGGGATCCAGAAAGACTTAATCCCTGTTGGCAGAGAGGTGGCTGGGGTCGTCCTGCAAGGTTGTAAACACACACAGTTTACACTCGTTTAATAGGACTACATGCAATTAGTGTGATTAGACCTTAGTCAGCACCAGTTTAACCAGTCTGTTTTTTCCTGCAGTGGGCGACAAGGTGTCTTTCTTCCAGCCAGAGGATGAGGTTGTAGGTAGGTTTTCTTTTTCAATCTGATCTAGGAGATGCCTTCTGACTACAATGAGTTTGTGAAAGATAGAACATGTGATATTAACTGTAAGCACACTGGAGAGCACAACAGGAATTTGTGAGATTAGGGTTGTTATTTAGGGGTGCATCATTTTGAAAATGTATTCATATTTCATAACTAATCACTAGAACTAGAGCTGGGTCATTTGTTTCCTCTTCATGTCATTGTATTGTGAAAACATTTTCAAATTTAGATGGTAATTCCCAGCTCTCACATCCCAATGAATAAGTTCATTTTACATTGTTAGATTATATTTGTGCAAAACAAAAAAGTCCTCTTGACTCATAGGACTAATACGAGTTTGCCTTTCTATCTCAGGATTTTAAATGCATATTTAATATTGTAACAATGTGTAATTGCAGTATTATTGGTGTCCATATTGCCCTTAATAGGGATTGACCAATATGTTTTTTTAAAGCTGATACAGATAACCAATTATTAGTAATTGAAGAAAACGATATTTGGAATAGGGCTGCACAATTAATCAAAGGATATTTGAAATTGCAATATGGCCATGTGCAATATGCAATATGCAAATCACAGAAGCTGCAATGTTTTGATAAAGGTAAAATATGTGACCAAACAGCATTATAATGTAGTACTGTAGTGCTGCAGAGGTCTAGAAATCTTGAGATTGACAGACACATTGGTACTCACACCCAGAAATTCTACATAATCATGCTTTTAATTGTTAATAAATAGTGATTCCCACATTAATCATGAATCATATCACAATCACAGTATCCGTCAGAATAAACACAAAATGATCTTTTCACCATATCGCGCAGCCCTGATTTGGAACCGGTGTACATTTGCAGTAAAATGAAAATCTTAGTGTCAAAATTTAGAGTGTATTGTAGTACATTTACTCAAGTATTGTACCTAAGTACAATTTTGAGGCACTTGTACTTAGTGCTGTGGGCGGGACATTGAGTGAGACTACAAAGTAGTGACTGCAGACAGAGAGCAGCGGTTAAAACAGCCACAGTTGTACATTTTAAAATAATTATTATTGGAAAATGGATTAAATAAACAATTCAGATAATCAGAAATATGATGAAAATCAGATTATTTAATCCGTCTGTCCCTAACCTTTACTTCTAACATGTTATATGTATATCTTAAGAAGACTGTCCTCCCTTTCCAGGTATTTTGCCTCTGGACTCTCCCTGCTCTGGACTCTGTGATGTCATTGACATAGATGAACACTATTTAGGTAGTATAATGTTCACACTCACGCACACACCCTCACTCAATCATAATATATACTTTTTTTCCCACAGTGATCAGCTTCCATTGTCATCAAACACATATTCTCACAACGCAGTCCGCCCACACATAGTATTGTTTTCTAATCAGTCATTTTCATCTTTATTCCTTGACTCAATAACATCCTGCTATATGGTCTGTGTGAGTCAGTCAAGGTCACTTCCCCTCATGTAAAGGTCAAACTGTTCTCTCCACTCTGCCCTGAAACACAGCAGGCACTGTGGTTTTCTTAAATGACTCTTCTCTGTCATCTGCACCTTCAAAAACTAAAACAACGTGGCGCTGGCAGTTTGACAGAAAAAAGAAGGATAGTGTAAAAGCACCTTAAGTGCCTCCCTGTCACATGTACTTTCTGTCTGAACTCATTTTTAAGCCTTGCACGAGAACGGAGAGAACACTCTGTCCTTGTAGGAGGTTGGAAAATCATCTGAAATCAGCTCCCTCAAAGCTTGAAATTGTGAGGTCATCAGGGCATAATGCAATCTGTAAAACTGATAAAACGTGTTTCTGTTCCTGTTCTCCAGTTCAGAAGCCAGAGAAGCTCAGCTCGGTGTGTGTTGCGGGAGCGCTGCGCGACGGCCTGTGTGCTTACACTGCTCTACACACACATGCTCGCATGGCAGCCGGACACACACTCCTGGTCATGGATGGAGCCAGCGTATGTAAAAAAGAAACTAAATAAACCCCAAATAATGAATGAAGTCTTGGTGGCATGGCGGTGAAACACACTCACCATGTAACTGCAACATTCATCCAGGACGGTCTTGTGTTTCATATGATTCTCTACCTTTAAAACTATCTTATTAAGACAAACAAACAATGAATCTATGCGTAATGTTCCTGTCTCCTCCTCCGTCCTCAGTCTTTCGGCCTCATGTGCATCCAGTTGGCTTGTTACCATGGAGTGAAGGTTCTGACGACGTCACACTCGCCGCAAAAGCACACATTCCTGGAGCAGCTTCGACCCAGCGTAGGCATGTACAGGCCAACTATGGGATGTCTGTAGTTTGATTTTGTTTGTTTGAAGTGTCAATAATGTACAGTGTCTGTACAATGTTTTCAAATTCATTTTCTGCTAAATCAACACAATTATTTTCATCCTCATTTCATGCTCTTTTGCTCCTCCACCCTTTCTTTTTTTTATCTTTGCTAATTTTTCCTGTCTTCTTCTGTTCTTTTCTCCTTTTCTTGCCTCCCCTTCATATTCTCCTCAGGTGTTCAGGATCCTTTAGTAGGTGAGATCTTTTCTTTCTGCCTCTTTCTAACTGACTTACATGCTTTGTTCCTTGCTTGTCTTCTCACACCTGCAGTAAATAGCTGTTGGATCTACCAATATGAGCTGTAGACCTGTTTGTTTTTCGTACTAAATTTTAGTCACAGAGATAACATTCATTTGAGTCATGTAACTCAAAGAAAAGCCCATAAGCAAATGTTTTAAAAGGGAGGTTGCCTTAGTCTAAAAGCTGCTGCCACCATGTGGATACTATTAAAACTGCAGCCACTGCAACGAGATGTTTGTGCTGACAGGAGTAGAGTTGCAAACTGGCATTGAGATTGGTTCACTTGACAAATGTATTGTAATCCAGACAGACTCATGATACCATGTTGCTGTGTCTTTGTGTCTAAAGCCAAGGTTATTCCAGTGTATAAGGGCTCATCAGACCTGCTGCCGGTGGTTTTAGAGGAGACAGGAGGACTGGGAGTGGATATAGTCATAGACTCTGGAGGTAAACACATTTATTTGTGTCTGATTCACACTGATGAATGTGTGTAAGATTATAAAAATGGTGAGTGCCCTCGGGCTTCTGACTGGTCCTGTAGATCATTCCAGATTCTCTTAAGATTTCAACTACACAATCTTCAACTCAGCATCATGACACCAGAACATATCGCTGTGTGTTTGTGTGTAGTGCGTCTCCAAGAGGAGGAGTCAGAGGACACAAAGCTCCTCCCACACAAACATGACATCATCAGCGTGCTGGGAGTGGGGGGGCACTGGGTCACATCCCACAAAGACCTGCAGGTGAGTCAGCGTCACACATGAAAGCTGCATCATACAGTTAAAAGATGAACAGGATACACATCACAGCTTAAAGTCCTAACAGACTAAAAATAAATATTTTAGTCAGTGTATGTGTTTTTGTATCTTTACAGCTGGATCCTCCAGATTGCAGACTGCTGCACTTAAAATCGGCCTCTGTGACTTTCCTCAACCAAGAAGTCTGGACGGCTTCGTCAGCGCAGCAAGGAAGATACCTCCGTATCCTGTACTCACACTGTGTAATCTAAAACGTATGCACATGATCATGCACACACACACACTCCCTCCTTAACAGCCCTGTCAGATATTCTGAAGGACATTGTGGAGAAGATGTCAACTGGAGTACTCAGGTAATTCAAACACAACAGACACTCAGTAAGGTTGTAGGGGTCAGTCAAACAATGCATTACTGCAAGACTCCATAACTATTGTCCATAAATCTCCATATAGCCAAAGATTCCACTAATACAACAACACAGTCCACCTGCAGTGTGGCCTAGTGTAACTCAAAGTATTTGTACTCCTCCGTCCAGCAGCACCTGTTTCCTGTGGGAAAGTTTCTACCTTTATTAATTATAATATTAATAAGGTGACACCTACTGGACCAATTTGGTCCTACACACTCATCTAGAAGTGGTTCCTTGATATAGATTTAGGATCATTACATACATTTGTCACTGTAGAATTTCGTACTTGTTACAGTAATAATAACTCCACCAAAACAGGAAGCACCAAATAAGTAGAGTTATATAACTTAATCAAACTTAATCTGTTGGTCTGTCTGGTTTCAATCCGTCTCTGCAGACCTCAGCCTGAGGAGCCGGTCCCTCTCTATGAAGCCACAGTTGCCATGGAGACTGTCCAGCGTCACCAGAAGAAAAAGGCAATTGTTCAACTCTGACCAAAGCACTGAGACATTAATAGAAGCAGGAAGACATCATGATGAACCTGTTTCTGGGCCAACAGAGAGGAACACACTCATATTAACACCTGAGGTTAGAGCCTGCAGATCCAGCTTGACCTGTTTAACTTTAAGCTGCGGGAAGAATCAATTTTCTCCTGGTTCTGAGGAAAGAGCCACTGTGTTTCCTCCACACAAACGGCTCTGACCACATTCAGACACAGTTTTGAAATTTTATATCTAACTTCTGAATATGAGTATGATTTCATGTGGCTTATCCTATGTGACTGCCCCCCACAGTACAGCCTGTCTGGTCTTTGTTACTTTACGGCTGCATTCATACTGCAGGCACAAGGGACCCAAATCAGATTTTCTTATTATGTGACTCAGGTCTGGGTTTTTTCTTGGTTTTTTTTTTCAGCGTGAACTAATTCTGATTTGTTCCACTCTCATATGTTGTCCAAATCAGATACAGGTCTGTTATTTTGCAGTGTTAACAGTCATATCAGAATTCCAGTGAGTTCTATGTAACTCAGGCGGGTCACTTCAGGACCTGTTCACACTGAAATCTGATATGGGCCACATTTAACAAATAATGTGAACAGCCAAACAGAATTGAGCACCAAGGCTTACAGTGTGAACGTAGCTTATGTTTCTTTGAAAACCCACAAAGTTTCATTTGACCCAGTAAATACACATTTTATAAAAAAAAAAAAAAATATGACTGCAATTCTTGATTTTGGTGTAAATACAAACATTTTATGTTTTGCTTATAAAACATCCAAATTGCAGTCCAACCAGGAATTGCAATTTATGTAGTTGCCATAAAACATGTTGTGTATGTTTTTTTCAGTTTTTGTCTTTGTCTAATCTGGAAATAAAATAAGACAAGAGGATTTGTCCGTCCTTATTGACTCATGCATCGCTGCCGGTTCTAATGTGTTGTTTTCCTCACAGTTCTCTCTTACATGAGTCCACAAGGTTCTAAGAATACTGTGCTTACAGTCATTTTAGTGCACTGTATCTTTGACCTTTTCTTGGCTCAAATGATGATGGTGGTGATGAGATCCTCGACGTCTTGCCCAGGACCATCAGAACAGGACAGACCCTCTTTCAGCACACCTGGAATCAAACCTGTGACCCTGTGGTTACAGAACATCTGGCAGTCCTGCTGTCAGTCGCACTGGTGGACAAGCAGAACAGGAACATGGAGACGGTCACAGCATCACCAGTTCAGCCTCGTCCTTGACTGGCAGGCCTTAGCAACAATCAGATGTCAGCTTGCGTCTGGTTGACATGACGACAGTTTTTCTGGTTGTCTCAGCGTGTCTCCTAGTGCCTCAAGACAGCTTCCCAGGATGCACCTCTCCTCCTGTCGCAGTGACATGACCACATCTAGCTGCTCCCTGACTGGCTGGTCACACTGCTGCAAGAGGTGGGAGATCTAACAAAAAAAAAAACAATCACTGTTGCAATCAGTGGAAAGTGAGTCGATACTTGGTGGAGTGTGTGTGTGTGTGTATGTACGCACACCTTCTCCAGAGCTGTGTGTGTGTCTTGTAGTAGTCGCTGACAGAGAGTCTTAGCCGTCTGGATGCTCCACTCCTCTCTGTCTTCACACACCACCTGGCCGAGCAACACTGCCTTCCAGTGGTGACTATAAAATGAAGACACATCTAATAAATCATTTCTATCCAATTACGCTGTCAACACTGATAAACTGGCCAATTCAAAGGACAGAAAAGTTGATTTTAGAGCAGAATAAGCAAGTAGGGCTTTTAATGTGTATGTGTGTGGTCTTACTACAGTGTTTGTGGCTGAGACAACAGTCTGAGAGCCGTCATCAGCCTCCAACTGGGACCTTCACTGGACACAGTGAGATTACTGACAGGAAGGAAGAAAAACGGCAATGGGATTAAAAAAGATGGAGAATTTATGCATCAGATTCTAGACTTATTTTAGTTAGAATTAATCTCAGTGCAATGCAGAAATAGAAATATATATAATATAATCTATTTTAGAATACAATAAAATAAAAATTAGCTATGCCTTCATCACCCCTCCTGCTTCCTCGATAACAATGTAATAATAATAATAACTAGTTGTATCTAATATACCAGTATTTAGAGACAATCTATTTAATGCATGAAAGGCACAATGACAATGCAAATGTCTTACTGAAGGAAATTGTTCTCTCTGAGAAACTTGATCTTCTGATCCAAACTCCTGTCACCTCTTAAAACATCAGTGAGGACACCTGAGGGACCACAGCGACACACGGACATTAGGGCTGCACCGATACCTGGTCCGATACTGTGCTCATGTACTGATAATCATAAAACTACTCCTGACTTCTCTCTCGTACTGATGTGACCCTTCATCATCATGAACATCGTGAGTGTATCACTGTTGGAGTAGCTGATAACAGACAGTGTGACGGCAGTAAGGTAGGTTGCTATTTAAAGCTGTTGCTGGAACTGGGCCACATGCATGTAGATCAATAGTCTGTGAGCTCAGATCTTGAACAAACACCCTTGGCTGATCTTGTGGTAAGTGTTGCGTGTTACACCGCCCTCGCACAGAATGACAGGATTGTAGTGGACGTGCAACTCGTTACATGTATGTCACATAATGTAACGGATTGCGCACACAGCTGTTCAGCTGCCATGCACTTAAAAGAAAAAGATAGAACTCCTGATTATAAACTAATATAGCAGCAATTTGTTACATTCAATTTGGTTTTTTGGAACTAATTACTGAGGTCTGGACCTCAGTGGCCTCATAGCTGGCTCCATTTATGGGCGAAGGAGAAGCAATGTCAGCAGATATTTTAAGCAACTTTTACAACAACATTAGCACATTAGCAACGTTTAATTTGATTGTCATTGTTAGAGCTAGAATTATTAAGTACTCACATTGGTACTCAGTATCGGTAAGTGCCCAAATGTAAGTACTTGTTTGTATTTGGTTTCAAAAAAGTGGTATTGGTGCATCCCTAATAAACATATGCATTTTGAAATATTATGAACAATACCTCTACATACATCTTTATGTTGAAATTATAACAATTTTCCATTTGACTCAAATAAATGTATATATACAGACAGTATACCACGAGCCTCAACTGTAGCAACATAAACTGAGACAACAGACGTTAATCCACCTTCCGGTAAATCTGGAGATGCTTCATAGGCAAAGAGTATCTTTCTATTTCCTACTGCAGTTCACCTGTATCCACATAGACCACGCTGTGGGGGTTGCAGGGGGCGACAAATCCGTACTCCAGCATCAGGCGCTGGTTATCATGGGAACCGTAGTTAATGAAGGCCTGCTGGTAGCAGAGTGTCCCGGAGACGCTCCTTATTTCATAACATCTTGTCACATCATTGAAACTAGCTTTTACCTGGAGAAAGAAAGAGATGAGATTTGTGAGTGTTTTATCATTTTTTTTTCCATCCATCCAACTGTCTAATCAGTTAAAACTCAACTCGGGAAGCAAAATAAGTCAAATATTCTATATCTGCTCAGTGATACACAGCATCTACAGGATCTACAGAGGTAGATTTTTCATATAGTTAAGTGTTTATGTGTTTACCACAGTTTACCTGCACGTCAGGCCGGTGATTCAGCAGATCCAGAAATGGAGCTAAAGCGTAAACATCCTGTCCAAGCAGGAAGCTGTTGGATGGGTGGGACATGAAGACAGAGCGTGTGTTGACACTGCACCAGGCCCACCTGGAGGAGCAGTGTAACAGCTTAATACGCAACCTGACAGACGAACAGCCCAGAGTTTGCACAATTTTTTTTCCAGAAATCATTTTACAGAAAAGAACTGCACTCACTCACAGCAGCCATTTTGACATGAAATAGTAGGGTAAACACAGGTGTTACCAATGATAGTGATTATGGCTTTTTTTTCAATTTAGGGTAGCAGAGCCAATATGCCCTCAGACTCTGTTTGACCTGAATGGAATGGAGCCTAATTACTATTTATTATCCTACTATTTAATGTGGATTTTGATTTTAATTAATTTCCAGGTGTTTTCATGACTGGAAAATACGTTTCTAAATTCCCAGGAGACGCGGTAACCTTGACAGTCCAGCAAATCTTTCCCATTTATTTATTTTTGGTAACAGGTGATGAGTGCCACTGGGAAAAAGTCTTACCTTCTTGAAAAAATTTATTTAACTATAATGTTAAACTGCAAAAATCAAATCAAAATTATGGAAATATTTATATTTTACTTTTACATGTGTGTGTGTGTGGGCATGTGTGCGTACCTCAAGGCTTCATATGTCAACACCTCCTCCACAGGCTGACTCAGGATTGGCTGCAGGGATCTGGATCAAGAATAAACCACACGGGCTGTTATTGACATTGTTTACAAAAGGAAGACCAATGGGGTCACTTCTTTTATTTGTGTCTTCTGTAAAATTACATTTATTGAGATGCATTTCAAACACCAGGTCTGTCAAGTAATGTGACACAATGTGCAGTGTTCTGGTCTGAGCACACCCTCACACGTAACTTGCTTCATTGTCCTGTGTCCTGGACTCACTTGAAAAAGTCTTGATTTGAGGAGTGGATTTCTCGCACTGCCTCCCTCTGCTCTACAGCCCGTCTCTGCACACAGGTAGGCAGAACGGCCATGACCTCATCTGTGAAATAGGCCGGGCAGGTGTATGCAATCGGCAGCACATCGATGTAGGGGAACCAATCAGAGGCCTCTCCTCGATGCCGCTCACACACCAGGAAGACACAGAGCGCCAACAGAGGAGAGAGGCGGGGCTTCCAGCTAGGGAGACAAATATAATGACGGTTTGGGTCAATCCCAGTCCATCCTCAGAACCTTCTGTCTGTCCTCAGTATGCCTGTATGTATATGTATATATTCACCACTAAATCCTACACAGTGGTCCTTTAAAGTATTAGTTATTGCATGGCTGTTGTAATGGGTTGCATTATATTTCACAGTTTGTTATTCCATTCCAAAATCTGATATATGCATATTCTGATCATTTAAAGTGCTTCCTTTGAATATGAATGTGTGTGTGTGTGTGTCTGTGTTTACTTCTAGATATACTGTCCTATGAACGTGTGCATGTTTACCTCTTGATATACTGTCCCAGGTAGCTGTCCAGGACAGTCGAGGTAGTGAGGAGACAGGACTCTGGCAGAGAAATGATCAGCTGACCAGGCTGACAGAAAAACAGAGACACACAAAGAGAAAGACTTTAGCTCTCATAAACCACAAGAGATAAAAAATAATGAGTGTGAAAGCTGTGACTGTTAACTTGTCTTTCTCTGACATACATGAAGTAATTACTATCTGTTACGTGGGTTATTACTGTGTTATTCAATCAGATGCACTGATGTGTGTTAGCAGATTTACCTTAATGGTCTTGAGAGCTTGCAGTCCTCTGCCTGTGTCTGGATTACAAGAAGCAATGAAAACACACAAACTTTAAAGTCTGCACATGTATCCATCAATGCGATTATTACAGGGAGCGGTGAAAGGAGCAGAATCTGGAGACGCAGATTGGCTGCTGTGTTTGTCAATCATGGGATACACACCGCACTAAAAAAAAACACAGCTGCTAAATCTGTGTCTCCATGTATATCTTGTGCAGATGGTGTCTCTGAGCAAGACATCGAACAGCTACATACTGGATATGTGAACAAACCCATTAACAAAAACACAAAAACAGATATCACATGGGAGCCCTGAGGTGAGGCTGGGTAGGCAGAGCTGTACCAGTGAAGAGTGCAGGCTGCAGCAGCGATGAGGTGAATCCCCGTTGGTGAAGAAACTTCATCAGCCTCACATACTGCGGCTGGTGACGCAGAGAGACTGAAGAGACACAGAGACACAGCAAGGTGATGGCAGAGACCAGAGGAGGGACCTGCAGCTTACAGCACTGAAGCATTTTTAGAAAGCACAGCAGTAAATTGGTTTATACCTGACTGGACAATGCTTTCTTGTTTTTTCCTCCTCTTCCTCGCAGCTCGTCCAGGCCGATGGCTGCCACCCCTCATGACTCCAGCTGGACCTGTGACAGTATGTGCTGGACAAACACACACATACACACTATAAACCTTAACAAAAATGTGTCTCTCTTTCTCTCTAAGTGACATTTGGTGACTGTCTGAGGTGGTAAAGCTAAAATAAATCCCCTCACTTGCTAAACTTCTGATCAATAAATACTAACTATAATATCACCAAAGCAAAGATCCTCTCTTGTGCAATACAGATCATACCCCACACAGGTACAGCTAGCTCAAACTAATGCACTCTAATACAAACCTAATTAACCCTTAAACCTTCATGGAGGTTCTAATAATAATCAGTTTTTGTTTTGCTTTAGAGAAGTGTTAATTCAACTCTGTGGTTATTTTTGAGCCACAACACACCAAATAAAACAAAGTTAAAATATGGGTGCATAAATGGCATACGCACAGAGTTAAACACCAAATGTAATACCTAGATATTATCCTCATCTGTGTCAAATTTTGATCGTGAACGGCGACTCCTTCGGTAGTGCTCAAACCCACGTGGTTACCTTGTTTTTCCGGGTATGCGCAGTGACGCCCTCTTCCCTCTTTTCTCCCATTTCCTCCAGCAGCGCCTCTCTCACTCCTCTCTGCAACAACACCTTCAGGTAAGGAGCCCCCGTTTCACCCTGGTTCCACAGTTAGCTGCTAGCATACACATGTGTATTTGAGTATCTGCCTTTGTTGAACAATGCGTTGTTGTTTTAACGGGGCTCACTGTAACACGCTCGCGTTCGCCAGTCAGGGTTATGTAACGCAGAAACACTGATCTGAAACCAGGCGAAAGGTCCTCTCTTCATATCCCCTACTTTAATGTGCTGAATTGCGAAATATAAACGGTTAGTGTCGCACCCTAGTAGCAGTAGCAGTCACACTGCATGAAGGCTTGTAACGTTAAAGCAGGTTGTATCAGGGCTAAAGGTCATAGCTGAGCTCATAGTATGACTCTGCACTTTTGGCTTTAAGATTGAATTGTCACTGTTAAGTTGAAACTGTTGATATAGTGTATCATGTTACAATTTAAAGCTATCATTACATTATCATAAGACAATGTGGAGCATTAAGTTAGGTTGTGTTGTATCTGAGTAACAGCCGTGTGTTTAAATGGTCAGTGCTAGTCCAACAATCATTGGCTTCATAATTCCACTTTTATTAGATTATAGATAATTCTCAGTTCTCTCCCTGCAATTCTCACCATGACTCAACACATTCTCACTTTTTTCAATCTCCTCCCACATGATGATAACATCTCCCTTTATCAGGTTGTGAAAGTCTCTGGCTCCTGTAGTGTGTGTGTGTGTGTATGT